TTTTCTATCATTAATGGAAAAATTATTCAGTAATCAAATAAGTTACAAATTCGAGTTCAAAAGTTTAATAGTTGAGATTTACCAAGATGTGTTGCAACACTTTAAATTAGCTATGATGGTTGATGGTTGTAACCGTATTACAAAAAAGTAACTAAAAGAACTCTATACCAGCACATGTTAAAAAACTAAAATCATAGTGATAAAAATAATAATAATAATAATAGTACTTTATTTTATAAATATTTAAATACATTAGGCATTTTATTAACAAAATACTTTCTAACCAAAACTCTAAGTAAACTTGTTTTAAATTGGTGGGTCATAATAATATGATAGTATAAAGTATAATTATAAAGAAGGTTATATATTATATAAAGTTTTATTGTAGTTTTCGTTTCAAAAAAAAAAAATAATAATAATAATAAAAGCAATGTGTTCATACATTTTATCTTACCTAATCTAACCTCATTTTTTTTTAAATTATAGTAAAAAAAAAACCTATGAATAAGTTAACTAGATAATWTTCTAAATTTGGTAGTAGCAGGTTAATATGCTCCAACAGAATCAAATTGATTATTCAGAATTTACAACTTGTCACATCACGCATTTGTAAGACGGAGACAGTGCTTGTAGGTGTGCGTCCTCTTATATAATAAATGTAGAAAAAGAATCAGTATTAATATTTTTAGTATGCAAAAAATCAGTAACAATATTTAAAGGAGACATTGCAGCAAATAATTTATTACATATAGAGGGATTTACATTACTTTTTTCTTATAGTCTAGTTTTAAAATTATGCATTAGTTTAAAGATATGTTTACATAATAATAATATTTGAATTCTAGGTAGTAATTTAAGATTATTAACATGAAACAGTTTATATATTACATTAGTTGGAGTGAGAAATAGCTTTTTTAAGATATACAGGGTGATTTTTTTATCGAAGAACACTCATACWCATACACTCATACTTTTTTAAATAATGAGTGTTCTTCGATAAAAAAATCACCCTGTATATTATTAAAAGAGTACTTAATTTTGATGTTTAGTGATGAGTTTGAGTTTTGAAAGTACCACCCCATATGCTTATAGTATAATTCTTATACAATACGAAATAACAGAGTTTACTTATTAAAAGTATCCTGTCTATACAACTTTTGCATTTAACATTCAGAGATTGTGATGCCAGTATGTGTTATCTCAGTCTTACAAAATATGCATAACAGCAATTTTTACGCTTATCAGATCACATTTAGCTCAGTTAGTTTAAAATTTAGAGTGAATTGATTTATCATAAAATTTAAAGGTAACATTATTATCTAGTATTGACTAGGTAATAATCTCTTTTTGTCACATTTTAATTTTAACTCAAATTATGAATATCTTAAATGTAGGTACAAACAATTTACAATTATTTTAAAATACTCATAACTTGCTTTCAAATTAATATATGATACATACAAATTCTATGAGATTAACTAAATTATAATCTTAATTTAAGTTTTATAAGTAGTTAATTCACTCTAAATTCTTAACTAATGAAGCTAAATGTGATCTGATGAGCATACAATTTGCCATTTTACACAATTGTAAGACGGATAAAATGCATGCAGGTATCAAGTCCACTTAAAGAGTGGTTTTAAAGATATTAAAAAAGTCTTTACTTAGATGATTAATTATGTTCAATATGATATTTCAAATATTTAGTTTATCATAGTATCTATATCAATCCTAAAAATTTTATTAAAAGTATGAAAAATATAAATGAAAAGTTTGTTGAGTTTATTCAAATTATCAAAAAATAACTTCAAAAGTTTAAGAAAAGTCTAGAAACATAATATACTCAACAGTTTAAAAGAACGTTAATTTTAAAAACAAATATTTAGTTGATTAATAATTAACACTTAGGTAAGGATCTTTTCTATACATTTTAATATCAATATATATAAATTTTTTCAATTAATAGATACATTGTCAGAATATTAACTTTCAAAAGGTATTAAAATGAATTGCATGTTTAGAATAATTATATTTAATAATTATTTGGTACTTACTCAAGGTTATTAGTTTTAGTGTATTGGTTAAACAATGGTGCATTTTCATCACTTGTATACAGAGGTTTTAATTTATATTCACGTTCATATGATTTTTCAACCGTGAACAATTCGTTGATTGTTCCTGATTGTTCTGCATGACTACGTTGGTAACTTTGAATAATCTCCACTCGGAGTATACCATCTCTAGGCCAAACATCTTTAACATGGTCTAAACAATTGGCCGGCATTTGTAAGAAATTCATGTGCGAATAAACAAGTACAAAAAATGACAAAACAGCCTAAAATCAAAAAACATAAATATTAAAATCCAAATTCTCAACATCGACCTTCGATATAGAACAAAAGTTTACCACAAATAAAAATACAAATTCTATAAGCCTCCTAAAAAATCTTGGAAAAATCCAAGCATACCCCAGGGAGACTACATAGAATAATTGGTCTATTTCATAGATAGGCTGGTTGTTGTTATTCACTCCTGTTGTCCTCATATCCCAGGAACTTGGTGGTAGTTCTTCATGATCGTGACCGTTGGTGGGCATGATGAAAATAGTTCCTTTAACTCAGCAATGAACAAAACATCAGCAGGAAATGTTGACGAATATACAGTGCATCACCACCTGGTAGAGAATAAAAACCAATAAATTCTATAAAGACAGAATTCGGATCGCCTTACATTTCAACTGTATGCCACTAGAAGCTAAAAAACAAAATTGAAACATAACAGAAAGGCTGGCGAAAATATAGAACTTGTCGTCATGGACAAGCACATATTTAAAGATCTTAACACACAAACTGATATTACAGGTAACCTGACAAGCGAAGGGGTCACGTACTCAGAACTCATGCTGTGAATGGTGGGCCAACAGACATTTTTATAAAAATCAGTAGTAAAAAAGCATACCTACTCACCCTTATCGACGGATGGGCCGAACTCGACGACGATCGGCGATGTTATTATGGTAGGTAATCGAACGAGCTATTTGGCYGGGCAGCAGCGCATTAATCTCGGGGAATCAGAATAATTATAATAAGGTTGGTGCCAATCAGTTCGACGAACGATAAAATGGAAACACGAATACACGACTACGATAGAACGATGAACAGGTTCAACTTGAAAATTCGTAGTGGCACTCATAATAAAGTAAACAGGTATTTCAGCTATTTTGTGGTTAGGTTATTATTCGTTACTTTATCATGGAATAATTAATAACACGCGCAAGCCGGCCGCCATTTAATGCGCACCACAAAATTACTGATACAAGTTTTGGACCGGTTAGCGCACCCCAGCTTCCCAGCCATAGTTGTGGTTCGCCTCATTTCATTGGCCGTTAAATTACCCGCCAAAAATACAATTTTGTAATATTAATATCACGACGAGATTGAAAATTATGAATAATACGAGCTTTTTACTATGGCAAATTACATTTTATCATTATTTTGTGTGACGTTTGACGTGATTACTTTTTTATGGTATTCATCAATATCAATGTATTATATTGTAATGTAAACAAATACAATCAATTTGTTATTTATTTGTTATTAATTGTTTATTCTAGATTCATATAAGTTTATTGTGTTTGTTTAATGCTGTATAAAATAATTTACATACACTAGGTAAAATACTCGTGTATATATATATATATATAATATTTACATTTTCGCGCACAAAATGCCAATTTGTGAGTTTTTTGGATGTGATATTGGTAGCAAAAGAAAAAGTTTAGTGAAAAATCCTAAGATTATTTTACATCGATTCCCAAAAATTCCAATTTTAAGGGATTGCTGGGAAAAACAAATACAATTGGGACAAACAAAAGCAGATAGAAAACCCATACATTTTAATTCTGTAAAGAACAAATCATTTTTAGGAATAATATTTGCTTTAGTATTCTACTTGAATTTCATATTTATTCAAACATGAAATAATTATATTTAGCGATTGTTTGTTCATAGCATTTTGCAAATGTCATATTGTCTTGAGGAATAAAGTATAGAAAAGTATTAAAACCAAATGCTATTCCTTTGAAGTAAGCTTTTAAAAATTATGATTTCTTAATTACATAAATACATCATGTATTGTATACATTTATTTTTTTATAAATTGTATTTATTTATGTATACATAGCAAAATTGATGATATGTGTCTTAAAGAGTTTATTACTCCTCAAAAAAATAGTTTGTATGAACCTATAATAATCACCTTAGCTGGAAAATTCTCTGTGTATGATTAAATGCCAATAAAATCTATTACCAAATTACTCAATTAACAGTATAATTATAATATAAATATTATGTTTTTTTTATAGAAAAATTGTGTGAACCTGTTGTTGCTTCTGCAGACCATAAGTAACTACACAATACAAACATGAGTACCTACTTAATAATAATACAATATGTTTTTTTTGTATTTTGTTAGGTCCACTGAAAAATACAGAGTTAACCTTTTTGATGATCTTGAAATTCAATYTCTAGATCAAAGTKTAGAGAATAAAATGGAAAATAGTTCATCATTTCAAAAGTAATGTACATACTTCTTTTAAAATAAATATTAAATCCTCCAAAGCCTTTTGTGATAAAGTAAGTTAATCGTTTAAATTGTTTAATAACTATTAATTAAATTTACATACATTGTAAATTATAATTTGAAGGTAATTAAAAATAACATAATATTCATTATACATTATTATTTTACAGTTTACATAACCACCAGAAACTAATATTAGAATAAAAACCAAATTTTTACAAACTTATAAAAAAGAGAAATAAAGGAAATTATAAAGTGTTTTTAGTGTTTGTATGCTGTTAATAAGATAATATTAGATAATTAACAGTATAAATGATAATAACCACAAACCAAAACTTTTCACAGCTAAAAACTGTTCTGGCAGATCACTAGTTCATTCTAGTTGCAAACTTATTATTTTAGACGCATGCGCGTTCAGTATATGTTTCTAACGATTATTACTCATTTACTACACTGATATCTCCATATGACAACATGATGTAAATGTACTTATCCACAATCTAAAAAGTTTCAATTTTATATTTGCTTAAACTGTTTTAAAACCTATTCTGATTCAAATTCGCATAGTTAGCGCAAAGTTGCAATCACTAGACCTAGACCTCTTAGCTGCCTTATCAATTGTTGAAGCACTAAAGAAATTATTAACTGACTTAAGAACTGATGAAGATAACTATTCAACATTATTTGACTAAGTTTTGGACATTTGTAGTTCACAAAAAATAGAGATACCAAATGTAAAACAAAGAAAAGTGTCTAGTCGAATTGACAGCAACAATATTCAACCTTTTACCTCTGACAAAAAACCAAAAAAATGAAATGTTTTGTGTACCTATTTTGTTTTGTAGTTAAATATATTCTTAAATATTTCAATACTTAAAATACATAGAAAATTGTTTACAAATTTTAATTTAAAATACCTTTAGATTTCATCAAAGATAAAACACTAGTCAATATTCCATCGTCAATTGGAAATTTTACTGCCCAAGTTCGTAAAGTAGATTGACTTCAAAATATATTTAGAACATATAATTGTATTTATTTATTTAACTCAATAAGTAATTTATTATTTTCCTGGCAGTGGAAAATGTTTTTTATAATATACTCCTAAAAGGGCTTAAAGTAATCACCGAAGAAATATCTTCTGTGGTCCATTGAAAAACTTTTTTTTTGGATGAAGAAGAAGCTGAATTCGGGTTGGTGTAAAGAGTTGTGATAATATATTACCAAAGTGACTTTTTAAACGAATATCTTCCAAATTTATAAAATTGTTAGGTATAATATTTTACTTTGTCCATTTCAAAAGTAATATTTTTTTATTTTAAACATTATTTTCTTCCTCAAGTATCATATCTTTTTCTTTATTCATTTTACATTTTTCTTTTATTCTAATCATTTTAGGAGTACATTTTTATAGTATTACTATTTACAAGCATAGAGCTTAAATTAAAAATAAAAAGTAATAAAATACTTAATTAAATATTTAAAACACTTCATATTATCAATATATTTTTTTTTAAATAATTAAAATATCCATAGCCTAACCTAATCTAACCTTTGACACAGAGGGTGCAACCAGGCCAAAGCCCCTTAGCCTCCCCCTTTTTGTAAAATTTTTGTTAATTTCAAATTCGTCATTATTATGACTAATATGAAAAAAAAATGTTGTCCCTATTTCAGATGGCATATAATAGATGTTAGTATGTAAATAATTAAAATAAAATCATGTATAAATAATAAATATAATATTATATAATATATATGTGTCAGTTACAACATTTTAAAATAATTAAAGTTCTAGTCGCCGTTTTGTATTGCTAAGATGTTTGAACTCTTCAATTATGTCTTCTGGATCTAATTCAAATCCCAATTCCTGTTCAWCAAATACCAACATCATTGACTTCAATCGATCTTGCGTCATACAACTTCTCAGCTTTGTTTTTACCAGACTTAATTTTGAAAAAGATCTCTCACAAGAGCAACTTTTGACTGGCATTGTTACAAAAAGAGTTAATATCTTGTAAATATTTTGAAAATTATTACATAAATTATTAGTGGACAGATTATTTAACCACTGATAAATAGTTTTGTTAATTTTACCAATTTCAAATTCTGGTAACGATTTTAACAATCTGAGTTCTGCTTCAAGTTCACTGTAATTTAAATTAGACCTATTGGAAAGTAAAATTTAGTCATGTTCATGCAGGTTAAACTGTAATAAACGTCCAATTGCACTTATTAGTAAAAGTGTTTCTTGACTAAAACGTTTATCTAATCCGTTTAAAAGGTCATCTAAAACTGTGTAGTACCTATGTCTAAAGAAAGGAGATCTTATAAGCACAGCTGACAAATGAACAGTGATTTGTTTTGATGAAACCTATATTTCAAGTAGAATTTTTTTTGACAAAAAAAATGAGAGTTATAGGGCCCCATAAATGTGTACAAACAGTTATAGCTCGAGATACATACAATAATGTTACTATCAAAATTATTATAACTAGATAATAAGTAAATTAATGTAAAATTAATTTACAGGGTTGGTAAATAATTGGAAACAGCCGATTATGTATGGTTATGATACTCCAATGACACAAGATTTGTTACATCAAATTATTGAGAAACTGTAAAATTTTGGGTTTAATGTCAGTGCAATGATATGGGTTCGTCAAATATTGGATTATGGTAAGCTTTAAACATATCTATTGAGAATACCTCCTTTAGACTGTTAGTAGAGTGGTTAGGTTAGTTTTTAAAAGGAAAATTACTAAAATTATCCAATGAGCCAAATTTTGAAATTTTCTCACATCATTGCATAAATGTAAAAGATTATGAATATTATGAACCATAAACTTTTTACTATAAATTAAAACATAACTTTTCACTAAGTGATTTAATAACTTTTCAGCATAGTCAACATATTGAAACTCAAATRCTTTATTTGATATTAAAATAGATATGGCCAAATGTAAGGTTATAAAATGATCATATTTCTCTGTATCTAATACATCTTTAAGGACTAATGGCCCTAAATAAAGAAGAAATAATCTATATTCAGTAGCTTTAAACCTTTTAGCTTCTTTGAGCGAACAGGGCTTTCTAGAAAATTCCCTTGGAATATATTGCCTAAATGATAGTAATTGTTCAGATATTTGGTTTACTAACACTGAGGGCAATTTATTAGGTGGTTTGCCATTGATCCAATTACCAACTAATAGTTTTTTTTTACCACACCGAGAAGGACTAAATGCATATAGTCAAGGGGTACTGTTGTCTGTTGATATTAAATCTAAACCAGATATTTGAGTCAGTATAGTTTCTGCTATGTGGTGGTTTTCATCAGTTTGATTTCTAAAATCTYTGTTTGTTCTTTTAGTAAAATTTGTTTCAGGAAAACACATTCTACCATTTATATGTTCTCCTTCAGCTGTACACTTAGAGCAAGAGTAGTAACCAGCGTGCTCTTTTATCTACAACACACTTGCTTTAGCTACTGTATCAAATAATAACATACATATTTCAATACGGGTTAACTTTCCAGCAACCATAATATCTTCATCACATAAACCAACAGCTTCAGAAACAAATTCTTCTAGAAAGTTATTAAAACTACAAGGTTTTTCTTGGCCATGATAAATACTAATAGGGAAGACAATATTATTTAATGGCTTATAATCTTTAATAATTCCCAGAATAGGATAAAGTTGACTTCCTGAAGACTTACTTAAAGGAAGACCATCAATATTTATTGCTAACTTAATCGACGAAACAGATAATTGTTTATTAAAAATATTGTTCAAACTATTTAACATGCCAAAATGATAATACAACCCTGTTTTTACAACTCGCATAATTGTTGTTTTAGGTGTCATTAAAAATGTCCTAGGATCCTTAGGAAGATTTTGAAATGTTGGTGTTTCCCTTAAAATTGATAGTAAAACTTGCAAGGCGTTATGGTTGATTTTAAATTCAATACTCCAATTTTTGAGCTTTTCAGGAAAAGTTTCATTATTCATTTTTTTGCTATTAGAATTATTATTAGAATTTTTATCCATCTCACAATTTACTATACTTTCATCACTAGAACTAGATGGTTGTGAAAACGATTCACTACTATTCCAAACACAAGGCATATTTTCCATATATTGAGAATTGACACTGTGGCTATTGTCATCTGCATTAGAGTCCAGCACAGGAGACAAATTAGTTGAAGTAATATCAGATGGTAATAAAGGGACATCAGAACTAACTAGACTACTGTTCTTAGGTTCAATGCTAAAATTAAAAATATATTAGAATGTCATGTTTAAATCGTTTAACTGATTTTTAACAAAACAGTTAAAATGTTGTTTGGAAAATGAACTTTTCTTCATAGCTTTAAATTTTAGTAGATCACAGAACAGCAACTTTAATGGTTATGTGAATATCCTTGATTCCTAAATAATTAGATAATTCTTAAGATATTATATTAAATTATTTTTATTTTTAATAATATGTTTAACTATTATTATTATGATTATATGCTGTTATATTACAATTTTAATAATCTTATACATTTTATGTGACATATAATATTGCATCTAACAAAAAGTCATTATAATATTTGTTTTTAAATGAAATAGTTTTTTAATTTTGAGGTTTAATTGATTGGTATTTTAAAAAATTATTGATAAAATCAATTTTTTTTTTAAATTGTTAATCAATATTTTTACAATAGGTAGGTTAGGTATATAATAATATTTATAACATATAATATCTAATATAAAATATAATAATAATATATAATACCTTCTAATAATGTATTCATTAGTGTATCAAAAAATTGTGACTTTTTATGTTCAAACACAATCATAATATATTATGTGAATTTAATTGTAATATTACAGAAATTTTATTTTATTTTATTTTAAACCTTTATGTTATGTTTAAATGTATTTTATGATCAACTGCTTGAGTATAAAATATATGATTATAATAATATCTATTATGAAGAATCTATGAATCTTTCAATTTCAAAAAGATCAGAAGTTTTTCTTTGACTATGACCAAATGACCATTCAAAATAATTAACCATAATATATTATATTATTATTGCAAGTAAATATGATTAAAGAATATACTTACTTACTATAGGTGCATGATCATTGATCATCATATTAATAAAATTTATTTAAATAAACAAACCTACCTGATAGCCGCAAATGAAACTTGGATTACTTGGATTATTATTTATATATTAGTGTATGACATAAAATGATTGTTAACTGTAAATGACTCAGTGATTGGTGTTTATGGTGTTTAACCTGACGTCTAGACAGGTTTCCTTTGAGGAAATCTAAAGAAATTCAATAATCATATTTTTGCTGACAAAAAAAAAAAAACAATATCACAATCCCCTGAAATTTAGCCAACATTCAATACTACAATATTTGTAAAAAATTTAGCTGATAAACATCTTCTCATTTATAAACCTATAGTCCATAGATATATTTTTAAAAGATGAACACTGGAAAACTTTGATTTTTACCAATTTACAAATTTAACTCCAGAAGAATTCACCTTCATAGAATATATTTTTTTGTTTATGAAACTCAATATTCCTAATACCAAAAAAAAATTTTTTGGGATTTTTTTCATTAATAATTATGTATCAACATTGAGAACATTGGAGGAAATAACAATTATAATTTAAAATACCTACCTATAAGCAGTGTTGAATCCAGACAACTTTTTTGGGCGGACTCACTTTTTTTTCATTGGTGAATGGTGATACGTCATTTTAGTATTATGAATTATATCTATTAATAGGCAGTTATTCTTATTACAATTTATAATTAAGACATTTCAAATGTATATAAAACTACAAAACAAATTATTTTTTTTAAATTTTTAAATCAATCTAAGCAGGTTGTCACACATTATAAATCGTACCTATTATTATTATTTATTGCAATTTAGAAATTATAAATATTTAAAAAGTTATAAAACAAATTACTAATTTTTACATTTTTAAATCAATCTAAGGTTAATCTAAGGTCGTCACATATTATAAATTGTATTATTAGAATTTATTAGAATTCAGAAATTATAAATATTGAAAAAATTAAAAAATAATTTAGAAACCTATTTATTATTTATATTTAAATTAGTATTAGTATGTGCATTTAATAAATAAGTACATTTTGTTGAAAGTCAGAAAGTTGTATTTGTCAGGGGCGGCGAAAGAAATTTCAGGGGGTCAAACGCCCCCTTGAAGTATACCTGGATTCAACACTGCCTATAAGTAGGTAACAAATAACTTAATTGAATTTTTTCAAGAACAGATTTAAAAGTTTTGAGATGTCTAAATAAAATCAATTAATATTCTTTGCATTTATTTGTCTCAAAATATTTAATATAAATTTAGGAGCAACTATGTCAACAGGATTATGATTAAACTTGTACTTTGTATGACATATATACACAACAACATAACACATTAATATTGTATGTAAATTGAAGTTTATGTTGGAGCAAACATATATTTATACAATAATTTGATATTTTTAATCTACAACCAAAATTTAATTTCCTGTATTACATTAAGTTGAACAAATGTAACTGATTTTTACTTTATTTATTTTTATTAATTTTTGTTTGAGTTTTAAAGTCATCTCAAGTAATTCCCTATTCTTTTTGAACATTAATATGTATTTTTAAACTTAATTATATAATAGCTAAACTATTTAATAATTAACTCTTGTTAAGTAAGTAATAAAATAAATAGTACCTAATATATTAAAATAAATAAATATAAGAAGTGGATAATTATTGTAAAATATAATTATAAATTCAAAAAAGAATACTTGATTTTACCCTGTGTTCAATTATTCTGGAAATGGGATCAATAATAACAGTTTACCTTTTATTACATAATTTGATTTCTGTGGCTACCACGAGGTGCAGATGGTTTATAGCCCTTATACTGATTACCTAAAAAAAAAATAATTATGAAATACTTTATAAAATAATAAAAATTATAATACTAACGTTCTCTTATACCAGTACCATGACCTGGATAACCGTAAGTATAGCTGTAGTCAGGTCTGTATCCCATGTATTGATTATGATAATACCCTAAAGAAACAAACAAAAAATAAATGTAAAATCCAGGGCTGGTGTTTATAATTTTATACAGTATAAATTGGCTATAATGACTTTTTACGGATTGAGAAAAAACTTGTTATGATTAATAAATCATAAATAAAGCCCAGAACTTGAGTCATTTGCTTTTTTTTTATGTTTCTCGTCTACTTATACAGAAATTTGATTCATGAAGTATAGAATTTATTGGTACAATTTTTATTTTTCATTTTTTAAATTATTAGGGAATTTTATGCTTTACGATCATTTTTTAGACTTTTGGTGCATTTTATTCATTTTTGCACTTTTTGTTTTACATATATTTACATTTTTCTTGTTGAAAGTTATACATGCAGTTTCTTTAAGCTTTTCAATTATCAACATTCATTATCTTTCTTTTTTTTTGTTGTTGCAAAAACAAAAAATTCAACAAAAAAAAAAACAATTTTACTAAAAGTAGTATTTTTCAACATATAGTTTTATTTAGTTAAATAAAAATAATTTTAGTAATAAATAATAATAATAATATAATATAATTGTTTTAATATTTTTATTTTAATAATTTTTGCATCAAAACAATATTTATCAACTTTTATAGTTAGATATACATTTTTAATATTATTTTTTCGTGTCATTTTTAAAAATGTTTACGTCATTTTAATATTTTATTCATTTTTTTTTATATATTTTTAGATCAAGTTCCAGGCCTTAATCATAAATGTTGTAAACAATTTATTTGTTAAATAAAATATATTAATATTTCATTGGTATTTTAATATATATTAAAATAACTATGTATATAAATAATATGTAAAGTATTAACACATAAATTATATTAATTTAAAAAATCATTTATTACAAATTGTAAATTTTTTAAATAAATTGCTCTTGTCCATGCTTAAATCTATTGTATCACTCAATAAAATCAATTTACTCATTTCTTGCTTTTTTAAAGATAATATGAAAAAGTAAATATATTGTTAATTATTGTACAATTTACAGTTCATTTTAACATAATAAAAAATGGTTCCTCAATCAATAGTGTCGTTATAACTGATTCCTACAATAAACTGTTGACAACAAATTAATTTACCTTCATAGCAGTAACCAGGAGCGTATCCAGACTGAGGTGGAAAACCTGTTAAAATATTAAAAATAATATAACGATAAATTACTATTAAATTATATATGAAAATTATTATTCCGATGATGTATTTAGAAGTTATTATTAATGCATAATTACCTCCTCTACCTCGTCGGCCCCTAAAATGCCCTCGCATTCCTCTCATAGGTCTTAAAGAACGAAAMTTCATACGATAATCTTTGAAAAATTTTGCTTTTTTTACATGAACCTAATAAGTATAATGATAATAAAATAATCTAAGTAACCTTATGTATCAAATAATTACTTGTTTTCCTTGAATCACATGTGTTGGAAATTTTAATATTTCAGTTACTGCCTGAATGCTATCAAATGTAAGAAAGCAAAAACCTTTTCGTTGCTTTTTAACTTTATCATATGGCATTTCAGCAACCACAAGCGGTGCATAGCGTGTAAAATAATCTTTGATGTCATCGTCAGTTAAGTCAGGAGACAATCCTCCAACAAATAACTTAACTTGTCGTGGTACAGCTTTTTTGATTTCAACTTCCTTGTCATTGATTACATGATTAGGACATGCCAAGGCCTTTAATAAAAAAAAAATAAAAAATACTAGAGTAAAAAATAATTTTTAACATTTTTGATCTACACATAAAATTTGAATGCATCTATATATTCATAGAATAGCAAGATCAGATTATTCATTATCATAAATTATTTACCAAAAACTAAAAATAGAACATCACTTACACACATAATTATTAAATAAAAAATTTTAGGGATTTAACTTTAAATAAAGTAGATTATAATAAATAAAAACAAAAATACTAAAATTCATATTATTTAAAACAATGTATTTATTTATATAATTTATCTATCATAGATTCATAGACAAATATCAGATATTATAGAACTTTGTTGATTACTTCACCAATCATAATAAGCTTAATATCAAACCAATATTAACTTATTTTGATTGCATTTAAGGTCTGCATCAAGGTGTCGAGAGTTGAATTAATTTAATAACCAAACAAATAATTTATTAATATAGAATAAATGATTGTAAGTTTAAAAAAACTTAATCCAACTACTTATTCAATTATTRATAAAAATTATCAACCATTAATACAACTTAACAAAGTTGTAACTATTTCCTTTTTTTAGCAATAAAATACTTAAATACCCTTTTCTTGTAATTAGTTTCTGTGTATTATATGAGTAAAAAATATTTAGAAAAATAGAATCTTATTTCAATATACCTATGTATATAATTTACATCATGTATCTGTATTTTGAATCTTTATCAAATATCAGTATATCACCATCATTACTATTCATCTATATGGAGATTACCTTGGCGTAGCATGAAAAGTGATGTAGTAGTAATATAGTAGCAATGACAATTTTAATGTATATTATATGGTCGTGTACAAATAAACAAATCAATATCATGCTAACATACTGAATACTATTYTCACATTAACATTAAAATAACTTTCCACTTAAATAGAAACTCGACATAAAATTGACTACAAAACATCTAAATAATTAACTAGGTACATCTAATTTATTATCCTAATATATTACAAACATTTGATCTAAAAAKTTTGCTAAAATTTAAGATTTACCTAAATTAATAAAAACAAAACGTTATACTTACATTGTCTAGGCCTTTTGTCGTCTTGAAAACAATGAAAGCGAACCCCCTGCCTCTACCAGTGACAATATTTATTTTGACATTAACAAATTCGATTTCACCAAACTGACTAAAATGTTCACTTAAATTTCCTAAAACATACAAAACAGTATTCGATTACAATTCTTGCAAACTATTAACAGGTGTTCACCCCAAACTTACTTTCAGTAGTTTCTCTTGTAAGCCCTCCGATGAATATTTTTCTGCAACACAATAATAGAATTAGTTTTTAAAACATTCAGCTACCAAAATAAAGAACGCAATACGAATCATCGTCAGGGTAACAAAGAAACACATGGTTGAAGTCGATGGCGTATCTAGAGAGTGAGGCTATTGAGGCTTAGCCCCACATTATTTGTATTATGGTATACATTTTATTTAATGAGAAGTAAAGTATAAACCATGATATTTTTGAATATTGTATTGAAGAAAAATTATAAATATTATTAATTATTTGTAGAGGCTATTACGGTTTATAGGATACTGAAATAATGATATAGTGAAAGGTACGGATATCCGTAGGTATATCCAATTCTGATTTATTTTGTTTAGCCCCCTATCTACCAATTGAAAAATTCTGGAAACGCCAGTGGTGCATGTACTCTAACCAAAACCGACGGGAGAAGCACACTTCGAATCCTAATCCAACATTGATAGCCCCAAAAATTACCAAAGAAAAACGGAAACACTTTAAAACAGATGGTGATGGGAAAATTATCGAACGTAAATGAGTATTAGACAGACCGGAAATCAATATCGAAAAAATAGGGTACCTTTCGTCGTTATTTCTAGGTTGGTTCGGTAGTATTCATTCAAATATTCAACGTCAAACATTTTTTTGTCTTACCTAACATCGTCTCGGATGTATTCAACTTGTTCAGAATTGTTTGTTGTAGACATTTTGGTGGGACCTTTGGGGTGCTGTTGTCGCTGCCGCTCGCCGACGCCATTTTTCAACCATTGAGAGCTGTTTTGTAGCTTTTCATCAGCCATTATTTTCGTGTAATACGTACAAATCTTAAATATTTAAAACGATAATATATAAAAATGCACAAATATTATTTTAAATAAAAATGTATGCCTCTAAAAATAAGAACGACAACATAATTTAAGAAATTAAAGACGATAACTGACTGAGAAAACGGTATAGAATGTCAATGGACAAGTCGAGTCCAAATAGTGCCTTGTAATCAAAACAACAATGGTAGCTGGAATATCTGTAGCTGGCCGAGTGATGCACTAAGGCGTACCACAATACCGGATATCAGCAACAAGTGGCTACAACACTAAACAAAATTATAACCTCTTTGCTGAATGTATTTGGCGGGAATAAATTTCTGTCTCGAGTAAATTCAAACTATCACTTTAGACATGCCTGTGTATTTACCCGGCATATATAATAATAATAATAGAAAAAGCACATTCACAGGTACTTAGTGTATCGTATCGTGCATGTGCGTGGTTACAACAATTATATTCACTTGATAAAAAAACTAAACATTCAGGGGTACTCGTTCAATATGCCATCTACCACACGTTTGATAGTTTAGTATGCTATCTACCGTAAATATTTTATGTACCGTCATTTTATGTTGGTGAAATATGATATCAACACGTATTTACGTGTAAATTGTCTTACTTTTATAATGCAGAATTTCTTCTTTGTCATTTTTTTATACTGTGTAGTTATGTACCTACGCATTTCTGATCGCTTTGAAGAATGATTCGAACAGGTCTTCAGTTGGTTTTTGTATCGAGCGTCACCACTCTTCTTGAAGTTGGGATGGTAATATGTTAGTCACTCTGGGGTTTTAATGTTATATTTATACTTTACGTGTCTCCAAAAAGTTTCTATAGTTTGGGTMTCAGCACCAGTTATTGGATCAATGAAATTTTCTGAATGATTAACCATTTTATAGATAAGCCCAATAAACTATGCTCAATTAAAGTAGAATACGCACTCCCCGCATTTATCGGAATATATAGTAGTACCTTGTTCAATAATATTTAATATAATTGGTAGGGGCCCGCGTAAAAATCAGGATAATAATTACTGGGGCCCGTACTATTCTGGACAGAATTTATCAAGGAATAACTTTGATGAATGAATGATAAGTCCTTGGAAGTATCATTTAAATGAATTTTATAAATTGGGATAAAATTTGTTGGAATTAATATTGGGAAGGAACCGTACTTTCCAGGATAGGTTTTCTCAGGAAAATATTATTACAGAATACCTAGTACTAATCGGGAAAATATAACCAAAAACCAGCTGCT